TTTTCAGTTTATCTCAGCACAAATGACCCAGTCTTGACTTGCAGTTCTTTCAGCAGAAGTACAGCTCTTTTTACACTTCAAGGTCCTCTGTGACTCCAGTCAGTTTCATGTGACTGTGGACATCTCGCTGTTCTTTACCAATCACCCTTCCTATCTTTGCCATTTTTTTTTTTTTTGCTGCTTTTATTCCTGTTTCTTTCTTTCTGGACTTAACATCAGATACTTTAAGCACCAGACTTCATTAGGAGAGTCAGAAATTTTTCCTCGGCTTTGAATGACTGTCAAATTGAGAGGATTTATCGGCCTGGGGCCTTAATCTGTAAATATAATCCAATCCCAAGTCTCCATAGGATTTGGTAATGTATCTTTGAAGTAATCATAGCCTGAAGGCTGAATTTAATCAGGTTTTGATACTCAAATACTCTTTGAGGTGAAGAAGCAGTTGCCTCTTCCACCTCTGAAAGCCTCTGAGTCTCTATACCTCCTGGTCATTTGTTTCTACTCATAAATTGACTAATTGTTTTAAATTGTCAAATACAACACTAATATCTTTCAAGTAAAATCTTTTTTCCCTTGATTAACCAAATCTTCAAATACATGATGTATTTTTTCAAGTAATCTTTTTTGACAGTGTACCAAATGTTTTTGCACTTCTTAACTTGATTGCCAGCGGCCAATAAGAGGTCCTCTTGCTCATTCCAATGAAAAATCCTCAAGAAAATTTAGATGGTGTTCAATTAAGTATAAATAGAATATAACAAGACTTTGTAAGAAACTGTGAAGCATTCTTGGAGGAAAATATTCTTTAGTATTTTTCAGAACGATTATGTATAGAAAAGAAAGGATGAAAGTTAATGTCCTAATATTTATTTCATTGAAGTAGGAAAATGCAGCAAATATATCAGAGGAATTCAAGATAAAGTATATAGTAAATATAATAAAATGATGAAATTACATTTTATAGTAATGGGAATATTAATATCAAGATATATTAGTATCAAATAAAAGAAATTAAGTAAAGATAATATATTTTAAAAGATTAGCCACATATAATAGAGTAAAACTGGTAAACTTATGGTAAAATAAATAAAGAAAAAAACAGCAAATGTCAATATTAAATGTTGCAAGAAATCTTCAGGGATTAAAAGCAATAAGAAGACATTTTTTTTTCTTTCTTCTTTTTTTTTTTTTTTTTTTTTTTTTTTGCGGAACCTGGAATTGAACTCAGGCCTTTGCGCTTGCCAGGGAAACGCTTATTCCATTGAGCTATCTCCCCGGCCCCTCTTTTCCTTTTTTTATGAGCAGAATATATTTATTGAGGGAAAGAAAGCTCCTGTCCAAGAGAGGGACAGGAGGGGGTCCGGAGTGGGTAGTTCCCTGACATTTTCATAAAAGTTACAAAATATAATATTGGAAATTAACTATTTAGAAAATTAAAAGCAAGGGAAATAAACAACATAATAGGTCTAAGCAAAATCATTGAAATATGCCCCAAAGTTGCATATTAAGATGTTAATAGAGGGCTGGGGAGATGGCTTGGTGAAATAAGCGCTTCCCTAGCAAGCGCAAGGGCCTGAGTTCAATCCCTGGTTCTGCAAAGTGAGACCCTGTAGACCCTACAGACCCTGTACTAAATACAAAAAAAAAAAAAAAAAAAAAAAAAAGATGTTAATAGTATTTTTATCATAATGATTCTTAAAAACAACTCAAAAATGCAATTCCATTAGAATATACCAATTATGAATATTCATTCTATTAATATTGCTCACTGTAAAATTTTCTATTTGGTTTCAGCATGAGTAATTTTTTGAAATACTATTGATCAAAGTTAGCAAAATGCAAAATAATATATACAATTCTTATCCTTTTATGTACAATTTAAAATCATACAAAAGCAACCTAGTGTTTACAGACACCTACTAAAATGTAAAAAGATATAAAGGCAAAACAAGATAGTAATTGCAATTACCAAACAACAAAT